AAAAATTAGCCGGGCATGGTGGCGCATGCCTGTAGTCCCAGCTACTCGGAGGCTGAGGCGGCAGGAGTGCTTGAGCCCAGGAGTTTGAGGTTGCTGTGAGCTAGGCTGACGCCACGGCGGCACTCACTCTAGCCTGGGCAACAAAGCGAGCCTCTGTCTCAAAAATAAAATAAATAAAATAAAATAAAATAAAATAAAATAAAATAAAATAAAATAAAATAATAAATAAAATAAAATAAATAAAATAAATAAAATAATAAAATAAAATAATAAAAAAACTATGGTGGTTGTTTTCTTACTGAATCCCAAGGGTTCTTTATATATTCCAGGTACAATTTCTTTTCTTTAACTTTTGTTTTATTTTGTCCCTCTTCTGGACTTGGTGTGCTTGGTGTCAGGGAGAGGACTTAAATCCTTCTCCTGTGCGGAAAGTTTTATTTTATCATTTCTTTTCCTCACCTCTACTCTGGCCTCTCGAGGAAGGAGGGCGTCTCTCAGCGCGCACCCGCCGTCCGCGGAGTGAGGCTCCCGGGCGCCCGCTAGTGGACAGAGCCAGCAGACGCCTGCTCTCGTCCCAGCCGGGGCGGCAGGCGGCGAGTGGCACGCGGCAGCCCGGTGGCTCGGTGGTCTGTGGTGAATGCCAGGAGGGGGTCGCCGATGTGGAGGGAAGGGGAACAGGGAAGCAGAGGGAGCCCGGGCTGGGAGCGGGGTGGCCGGGCGCCCTCCCCGGGCAGGGCAAGGACGTGGAGGTGGCCCAGTCAGAGCAGAGCGGGACCAGGCTGTGGGGGCGGGTGAGCGCGGGGTGGCGGCGGCGGCCTGTGCCACCACCCGGCGAGGAATGGCGGCGGCGTGGGCCCAAGCGTGGGCAGCTGGTCTCTGCACCCATCTGGGCCCTCTGAGAAGCATGTGGGATTAAAAGTTTCATTGTGGGAAATGCCCCCCCCCCGGGGACAGCGGGGAGGGGCTGCAGAGGGTGGGGAAGCTGCGGGTCCGGCTCCGGGGACAGTCCAGCAAGGCCACTGGGGAGCCCCGTCTCCTACGAGGGGCCCTGCCCTAGTACCCTTGCTGCGCCAGGCCACTGCTGGGAGCAGCCGGGAGAAGCCAGTGTTCTAGAGCTGGGAGGCTGGGCCAACGGCGCTCCCTGGAGCTGGGGGTCAGGGAGGCGCATTCTCGGGGCTGCCACTCTCTCCAGGCGTGACTGGCCAGATCGGTCACCTCCCCCCACCTTGGTGGTGACAGATGAAAGGTCAAAGGGAACAGTGACCCTGACTGACACATTTGGGGTACCTTCCCACTTCCTGATGCTCTTGTCTTTTGCCTTGAGGGGCGTGTTATGGGCATTGGGTTAAGTGGAAGATGACCCTATTGCTACCACATAGGTCCCTGCAGGGACAGGATGGAAAATCAGGTCACGAGGTGGAGGAAAGAATGTAGGTTAAAGTTTAAAACACACATCGTTCTGCAGAGGTTCCATGAGTCAGCCTTGAGCGGGAGTGGCACTCCGGTGGCCCTGCCTGCCCAGGGGCTGTGGCCTTTGAATGGTCCTGGCACCATTGACCTCGTGGAAGAGCAGCCTGAATTTGCCTTCGAGCCTTTATGCTTTTAAGCAACATTTAAATTCATCCCTGTACACCCTGGACTGCCTAGGAAACGTCCTGATTCAAGCTGAGAATCTGGGTCAGCTGTTTATAAGAATAGTATTTGCTGAATGAAACTGGCAGCCTAGACAGCGGGTGACTTCTTGGGAGGTGGCAGGGGGTGGGCACGGGTAGGGATCTGGCCATGAGCTCATATGTTTGACATGTGGTTTGTGCTGCGCTGGGATTTCTGTTCTCAGGCTGGTGTTGACGGAGCATTGCAACTTCCGTGGTCACACAGGAAGGGCAGCGGCACGGCAGGGCAGGCGGATAGGCTTCCCCTGCAGACAAGGTGGCAAGGGCGGGAGCTGCAGTTACCTGCAGCTCAGGTGACTTGGCCACCATGTGCAGCTCTGTGCCCCGCCCCACCACTGCCTCCAACACAGGCACACACATAGACCGCACACAAGAGTGTTTGAGACTGGCTGGGGGGTTCTCCGCAGCGGTTTTGGGTGGGGGGAGCCCTGTGCCCTTGCTCTGGGCTGGGCCCTGAGACTCCAGGTTCCAGGACATTGACTTCTTTGTCTTTTTAAGCTCCAGCGCCTGGCTCAGTGTCTGGTGTTTGGGGTGACTTAATAAATGTGTGCAGTAAGTGAAGGAGAGAGCAATCTTTACAAAATCTCTGAGTCCAGAGACTGCAGCTAACCCTGCCACGGTCCTGCGGGTTACTTTGCAGACGGGGCAAGCGCGGCCCTAGGAGGAGACTGCGCACGCCCAGGGCTGGACACTCGGTGCTTCTGGTGCGGCTCCCACAAGACCTCAGGGCTCCTGTTCTGGGCAGAAGCTTCGCCCACCTGGAGTTTCTTCCTTCTGCATGAGGAGTAGAGGCTGCCCCTGGATCCTGGCTTTCCGAATTTTCCCACTGACCTCAGGGGAGAAGGGCCTGCTGAGCCCCAGGATGCGGAGGCTGCATCCGGCCCTGCGCCCTCCTCCCAGCAAAGCAGCCCCACAGGCAGGGCTCTTTGGCCGCTGGCGGGAGGGTCCGCTTATTGGAGCTCAAGCCCCTCTTTAATGTTATTGTCTTCGAATACTCAGTATTTTGGTACCTGAGTGTGTGTGTGTCTCCTCTCGTGGAGTCATTTGGCCGCAGCAGCATCTTTGCTTAGCCAGGCTGGTGCCACCCAGCCCCCACCCGCTTTTGTTTTGGAGTGTAAGCCAATCACAGACATCTCAAAAAGGAAGGTTGTTTTCTGGCCAGGTGCGGTGGCTCACACACTTTGAGAGCCCAAGATGGGAGGTTCACTTCAGGCCAGGAGTTTAAGACTAGCCCGAGCAATGTAGTGAGAGCCTGGCTCTATAAAAAATAAAAATATTTGCCAGGTGTGGTGGTGCCCACCTGTAGTCCCAGCTATGCAGGAGGCTGAGGCCGGAGGATCGTTTGAGCCCAGGAGTTCCAGGCTGCAGTGAGCGATGATGACGCCATTGGACTCCAACCTGGGTGACAGAGCAAGACTAAAAAGGTCATTATTTTTAAGTAACCTTAGTGCCCTCTTTGCACCTTACAACACTGACAGCCATTCCTTCCCCTCGGTGTCACCACTACCTGTCTGGGTCCAAAGGACTCTACATTTTTATGTTTAAGTCATTTTAGAAATACAGGCACACCTCGTTTTATTGCACCTGACCGAATTGCGTTTCACAGATACTGTGCTTTTTATAAATTGAAAGTTTGTGGCAACCCTCTGTTGGGCGAGTCTATCATTTTTCCAAGAGCATGTGCTCACTTCATGTCTCTGTGTCCCAATTTGGTAATTCTCACAATATTTCAAACTTTTTCATTATTATTATATCTGTTTTGGTGATCAGTGACCTGTTACTATTATGATTACTATTATGATTATGATTGTTACTATTATGATTGTTTCAGAGTGCCACTCACCGTGCCCGTATAAGACAGCAGCCGTAATCGGTAAGCGTGTGTGTTCTGCCTGCTCCACCGGCCAGCCCTGCCCCCACCTCTCCCCTTCTCCTCAGGCCTCCCTGTTCCCTGACACACAGCAATATCCAAGTTAGGACAACTAATAACCCTACAGTGGTCCCTGAGTGTTCAAGTGAAAGGAGAAGGCACACTTCAAATCGAAAGCTGGATACACGAGGCCGAGAGGATGACTTGAGCCCAGGAGTGAGCGTCGCAGTGATCGGGCCACTGCACTCCAGCCTGGGTGACAGAGCGAGACTCTGTCTCTAAAAAACAAAGAAAGACAAAAAAACCCTCGAAATCATGAAGCGTAGTGAGGAAGACATGTTAGAAGCTGAGATAGGCTGAAAACTAGGCCTCTTTCACCAGTTAGCCAAGCTGTGAATGCAAAGGAAAAGTTCGTGAAGGAACCAGAAATGCTACTCTAGTGAACACACGTATAATAAGGAAAGGAAACAGCCCAATTGCTGATATGGAGAAAATTTTAGTGGTCTGGAGAGATCAAAGTAGCCACAACATTCCTTTAGGTATCAAGGCTAAAGCGAGGCCCTAATTCTCTTCAATTCTGGGAAGGCTGAGAGAGGTGAGGAAGCTGCAGAGAACATCTGGAAGCCGGCAGAGGTTGGCTCATGAGGTTTAAGGAAAGAAGCCGTCTCCGTTACACACCAGTGCGAGGTGAGGCAGCAAGTTACCCAGAAGATCTAGCTAAGATCATTGGTGAAGGTGGCTACACTAAACAGCAGATTTTCAATGAAGATGAAGTAGCCTTATATTGGAAGAGATGCTTTCTGGGACTTTTGTAGCTAGAGAAGAGAAGTCAATGCCTGGCTCAAACTTTTAAAAGGCTGAGTTTCTTGACAGGCGCTAATGCAGGTGGTGACTTTAAGTTGAAGCCACTGTGTTAGAGGCCAGGACCCTCAAAGACCCTCAACTCCCCTATGACTCGTCCTATGCACGGGCTTCCCCCTGGAAAATTCCAGCTATAGCTCCGAGAAGAATGCATTCCATGACGTGCTGACCACGGGATGCTCCAGGGAGTGCTGACTGCAATTGTTCCCGACCACCTGCCAGGTTGGAGTTGAGTAAGCAGTCAAAAACAGGATACCGATAAGACGCTGATTGGGGCTGATTAACCCAGACCCAAGCCTCCTCGTCGCCCCACTCTATTTTTTTGTTTCTACTTCCTTGTTTCTGTATGCTTATAAAACCTACTAAGAATCTAAGTAAAGCAGACCTTGACAACCATTTGCTTGGTCTCGTTCCTTTCTCTCGCCCATCTCTTTCAGGCAAGGTCCCCCTTGACCCCGAGAGTAACAGAAGGTCCCGCGGGTCGGGACACCACTGCTCATTTACCATTCTGAAAATCCTAGGGCCCTTAAGAATTAGGCTGAATCTACTCTGCCTGTGCTCTAGAAATGGAACAACAAAGCCTGGATGACAGCACATCTGTTTACAGCATGGTTTACTGAATATTTTTAACCCTCTGCTGAGACCTACTACTCAGAAAAGAAGATTCCTTTCAAAATATCCCTGCTCACTGACAAAGCACCCGGTCACCCAAGAGCTCAGAAGGAAATGTGCAAGGATATTAATGTTGTTTTCACGTCTGCTAATGTGACACCCATTCTGCAGCCCATGGATCAAGAGTAATTCTGACTTTCACGTGTTATCATTCAAGTCATACATTCCATAAGGCCGCAGCTGCCACAGACAGCGATTCCTCTGATGGATCTGGGCAAAGAACACTGAAACCTTCTGGGAAGGATTCGCCATCCCAGACGCCATAAGAACATCTGAGACTCATGGGAGCAGGTAACACTATCAAATTAACAGGAGTTTGGAAGCAGACTCCAGCCCTCACGGGTGACTTTGGGGTCCCAGCCTCCAGGGGAGGAAGGCGCTGCAGGTGTGCCGGAAACCGCAAGGGAACTGAGTCAGAAGTGGGGCCTGAGGATGGGGCGGAATCGTCGCCATCTCACGGTCAAACCTGAGCGGATGGGGAGCCGCTTCTCGTGGATGAGCAGAGAAAGTGGTTTCTTGAGATAGAATCGACTCCTGGCTGGTGAGGACGCTGTGAGCACTGTTGAAATGACAACAGAGGATTTAGAACATCTGGTAATCTTAGTTGATAAGACAGCAGCAGGGTTTGAGAGGTTTGATTCCACTTTTGAAGGAAGTTCTACTGTGAGTAAAATGCTACCCGATGCTACAGAGAAATCTTTCATGAAAGGAAGAGTCAGTCAATGCAGCAAATTTCATTGTTGTCTTATTTTAAGAAATTGCCACGGCCACCCAGCCCTCAGCCACCACCCTGGGCAGTCAACAGGCACAACATGGAGACAAGACCTTCCACCAGCAAAAAGATTATGACTCCCTGAAGGCTCAAATAGTCGTTAGTACGTTTTAGCGATGAAGTATTTTTTCATTAAGGTATGGACATTTTTTAGACTATGCTATTGCACACATAACAGACTACAGGATAGTACAAATATAATTTTATGTGCACTGGGAAACCAAAACATTCCTGTGACTCACTTTATTGTGACATTCGTTTTATTGTGGTGGTCTAGAACCGAACCTGCCATCTCTCTGAGGTGTGCCTATAATTCGAGGAAGAATAAAGGGATAGTGAAACACAACTTTGATATTTTAATAAGAATGCAAACATAGTGAATTCAACTTTTATTCCACACTTGTGATGCTGATGGGACATGGGCAGCATCCTTCAGGTGCCACTGGCTACTGTCACCTGTCTTGCACGAACCTGGAACACATGGAAATGCTGTTCCAGGTTTCAAATGCACCTCGAATGGGTCCTAGACTATCATTACTTTTCCTTCTTGCACTGGCACTGCCAAAATGTGATATTTGGATGAACTTTTTGAAATCTTTGACACTTTACAAGTTTGTTGAAGAGAACATGGTCATTTTCTTTGCCCCGTGATTGCAAAACATTTTCATTTCTTGATTTATAAACAGCCCCGAGAATGATCAATTCAATTAATTTTTAAAATTATTCATCATCGGCCGGGCATGGTGGCTCACGCCTGTAATCCTAACACTCTGGGAGGCCAAGACAGGCGGATAGCTTGAGGTCAGGAGTTCAAAACCAGCCTGAGCAACAGCGAGATCCCGTCTCTACTATAAATAGAAAGAAATTAATTGGCCAACTAATATATATAGAAAAAATTAGCCAAGCATGGTGGCTGAGGCAGGAGGATTGCTTGAGCCCAGGAGATTGAGGTTGCTGTGAGCTAGGCTAACGCCACAGCACTCACTCTAGCCTGGGCAACAAAGCAAGACTTTGTCTCAAAAAAAAAAAATTCTTTATCATCCATTTCCTCCCAACATCTCTGTATGTACACCTGCCTTCAGCATTTGTCCATGTATGTCCACTCACAGATGTCAAAAAACGTAAAAGAATACTGTCACGTGTCCTTTTAGGAAAAATGCAGTAGTCCAAGTTCTTATTACAAAATATGGACTGAAGTCTTCCCTGTTGACTAACTGGATGCAAATATATGTCCCTTTTGTCCTTGGAAATAAGGATCTGAGAGAATTATCTAGGATATAGCTGTCTGAAGACTCACTGAAATCTCCCTCATTTGCTCAGTTTTACTGTCATCGTTAGTGTCCGGCTGGAGCGCCCTCCCTGTTCCTCCTCAGCCACTTCTGATTGCCTGATGGATGCTAACGTCTCCCTGGGTCAATTTTCTCCTTCTTACTGTTATGTGTAGAAAATGAAAAATTTTGAATGCTCGACTGTGTTGTTTGATGCAAGCAAAACAAAGAAAAGCCTATCTCCAGAATCCTTTTATTCCTGCAACGACCCCAGTGATCCACTGTGGGTCTGAAGCCCAGGGCACGGTGCAGAATCCATTTGGGTATGTTCTGAGTGTCTGTCGGAGCTGCCCCTCCGAGGGGAAGATGGGAAGAAAACCAGAATGGTTACAAGATTAGTTGAGTCTAATTAATTTATGGAGCATCTGGTGTGTGGGGCTGACAATCAGGTCACGGTGACAAATGGAGGGGCCACGGGCCCTGAGTCCTCCTACTGGGGCTCCTGTTGGCTTTATGGGGAACTTAAACTTGTCCCTTATTGTCATAAAAAAAAAAAAGCCACCTTGTGGCTGTCATTAGCTCCAGATCTGGTCCCCAGTCAATGACTCTGACCCATAGGCAACTAAACTCACTTAGAAAGGACTTCAAATGCCTAACTGAGTATTTTAATGCAGCCTTATGATTTTTTGGTTTGCAAGATATAAGGAATGTGGCCAATGTTTAAGGACCAAAGACCCATCACATAACTAGGGAATGTTTGGTTAGTTATTCAGTTGAAGTATTTGAAGCAATTAAATGTATAGTTTAAAAGCCTTAAGAGTTCTTATTTAAACTAGCTTGTGATGAGACTGAACATCAACCAAAAGCTTCCTTGTAAACTATTGTTAAAATCGACTGGATTTATAAATAGCATAATACGATTTTAAAGTTGAACTCCAACACTTAAGGAAAAACTAGGTTTGTTAATGTAGAACTTTAATAAGTTGAATTTTTAAAAAAAAGTAACCACTGGCCGGGCGCTGTGGCTCACGCCTGTAATCCTAGCTCTTGGGAGGCCGAGGCGGGCGGATTGCTCAAGGTCAGGAGTTCGAAACCAGCCTGAGCAAGAGCGAGACCCCGTCTCTACTATAAATAGAAAGAAATTAATTGGCCAACTGATATATATATAAAAAATTAGCCGGGCATGGTGGCGCATGCCTGTAGTCCCAGCTACCCGGGAGGCTGAGGCAGAAGGATCACTCGAGCCCAGGAGTTTGAGGTTGCTGTGAGCTAGGCTGACGCCACGGCACTCACTCTAGCCTGAGCAACAAAGCGAGACTCTGTCTCAAAAAAAAAAAAAAAAAAAAAGTAACCACCACTAGTCATTTATGTGCACAAAAGTCACCTTTAAACAAGCCCCAGACCTCTCACTGCAGCACGTGTGTACCAACCAGGTAAGGCGACTCATCCATAGTGCTCACCAGTGGGGCTAAGCGGGACACAGGGGTCCACATCCGGACTCCTGCACTGACTTTAGTTTTCCCTGTGGAATGAGATGCTTCTGGTCCTGTCACCTCAGGCAGTGTTTGCAAACTGGGGGCTGGGACTCAGCAGGCTGCAAAGTGGGGCTAAGAGGTTTCAACCATCATTTTTAAAAATGGAGTAGAATTAGGGTTGCCAGGTAAAATACAAGATACCAAGTTCAATTTGAATTTCAGATAAATAACAAAAAATTCAGTATAAATGTATCCCAGATACTGTATTGGATGTACACATACCAAAAAAAGCATTTGTTATTTATCTGAAATTCAAATTTAACAGGGTGCCCTGTGCTTTTATTGCTAAGCCTGGCAATCCTAAGTAGAATAGAAAGGAAGATATGGGGAGGGCCCCAGGTTGCAGGGGAAATGTGACTTCGTGTATAGTTGTGGTCATGTATTGGGTCATACTTGAAATGTTTTTTTTGTTTTTTATTTTGAGACAGGGTCTTGATCTGTTACCTCAGCTAGAGTGCAGTGGCATCATCATAGCTCATAGCTCATAGCTCATCATAGCTCACTGCCACCTCCAACTCCTGGGCTCAAGAGATCCTCCTGCCTTCCAAGTAGCTGGGACTATAGGCTCATGCCACCATGCCCGGTTAATTTTTCTATTTTTTGCAGGGACAGGGGTCTCGCTACATTGCTCAGGCTGGTCTTGAACTCCTGGCCTTGAGCCATCCTTGGGCCTGGGCCTCCCAAAGTGCTGAGATTACAGGAGTGAGCCACTGTGTCCAGCCTGAAATGCATTTCTTAATGTGGGCTGAAGCAAACAATGGGAAAGCCACTGTCCTAAGTGGCTGCCAGGGCTAAATGTGAGAGTCCCATGAAGCTGTTTGCAGCGCCTGGCATGTATTCAGGGGTACCCTCGGGGGCTACTATAATCACTGTCACTCACTTCCCTGCCTCCATCTGTGTTTTAAGAGGAATTTTCTTGAAAGAACTCTGAGCCTTCACACGTTTGTTAAAACATTTCTCAGAAAATGTCCCGTTGATCAAACTGTCACCTCTCTTCTGAGGGAAAGACCGCAGTTCTGCTCTCTGGATCTCACCTGGGCGAAGATGCCGCCAGGTGGGCCAAGATGCCCCCAGGTGGGCAATGAGCCCAGCGCCCACGGACATTTCCACCAACGGCCACTGGGAGGCGACGCGTGGCAGCGATGGTCAAAGGCCGCATGCGCGCGGCGGCGCAGGGTTATTACCGAGCTGAAAAACTCCCGCGGCCCAGTGACGTCAGCCAGTCGCTGTCGGAATACGGGGCAGCGCGTTACTCACGTGGCTGTGGTCACGTGATCGTGGAGCCGCTGGTGTAAACAAACTTGTGCCGTCACCCTGTAGAGTCGCCCGTACTGTTACAGTTCTGTGCGGAGCGCAATGCGTGGTGATGATGACGAGCAACGAGCTACTGGCTTGTGGATTTAAGATACTATACTTTTTATTGTTAGAGAGCACTCCTCCTAGTTATTTTGTTTAAAAAGTTAACTGTTAATATAAAACAGCCTCAGTTTTGTAACAGGTCTGGACTCTTCTGGTTTCCTCCTTTCAGGAGATTTCTAGAAGGTAGCATTGTTGTCACAGGAGATGACAGTTCTGTGCTCGTTATTGCCCCCAGGACCTTCCAGTGGGATCAGGCGTGAAGGTGGGAGACGGTGATACAGATGGTCCCGACCCTGTGTAGGCCTAGGCTAATGTGTGTGATTGTGTCTTAGTTTTGTTTTTGTGTTTTGTTTTTTTTTTGAGACAGAGTCTCACTTTGTTGCCCAGGCTAGAGTGAGTGCCGTGGCGTCAGCCTAGCTCACAGCAACCTCAATCTCCTGGGCTCAAGCAATCCTGCCTCAGCCTCCCGAGTAGCTGGGACTACAGGCATGCGCCACCATGCCCGGCTCATTTTTTCTATATAAGTTGGCCAATTAATTTCTTTCTATTTATAGTAGAGACGGGGTCTTGCTCTTGCTCAGGCTGGTTTCGAACTCCTGACCTTGAGCGATCCTCCAGCCTAGGCCTCCCAGAGTGCTAGGATTACAGGCGTGAGCCACCGTGCCCGGCCTGGCTGTACCATTTTTTATCTTTTATACTGTACTTTTATTGTACCTCTCCTGTGTTTGAGTGTGTTTAGATACACAAATATTTATCATTGTGTTACAGTTCCCTACAGCATTCACCTGGGAGCCATAGCTGTACCACACGTCCTAGGTGTGTAGCCGGCTGTACCATCTAGGTTTGTGTACGTGCACTCTGTGATGTTACCACATCAGAACAACAAAATTGTCTATCAACACATTTCTCAGAGTGTATCCCTGTTGTTAAGCAGCACGTATCTGTATAAATAAATACATACACTTGAAAATTAATATTTATTTTAGAAGACTATTCAGCCGGGCCCGGTGGCTCACACCTAGCACTCTGGGAGGCCGAGGCAGGAGGATCACTTGAGCTCAGAAGTTCGAGACCAGCCTGAGCAAGAGCGAGACCCCATCTCTACAAAAAATAGAAAAATTAGCTGGGCATAGTGGCGCATGCCTGTAGTCCCAGCTACTCAGGAGGCTGAGGCAGGAGGATCGCTTGAGCCCAGGAGTTGGAGGTTGCAATGAGCTATGATGACACCACTGCTCTCTAGCCAGGATGACAGAGTGAGACTCTGTCTCAAAAGAAAAGAAAAAGAATATTTGTTTAGAAATAATATTATTTATTTTAAAATAATGATAATAAACCCATAATGTGTTAACATTAATAGTTGTTTTTAATGTTTTAAATGAAAAATTAGTATCTTCTGAAACCACACAACAAACTTAAGAAGCTTAAACTTATTGGGTGGCATCGTTTTACATATTTGTCAATGTCTTCAATGTCTGGCTTAACAGGAGACCAGCAGATTCTCATATCTGCTTCTGTGTTCAATCTTCTATGATAAGTTGTTTTGGTTGAAGTTTATAAAGAATATCCAGCCTTTCATAGACATTGTTGGAAGGAAGAGTACTTTAATATTTGTTTGTTTGTTTGTTTATTTTTAGAGACTGGGTCTCACTTTGTTACCCAGGCTGGAGTAAAGTGGCCCATCATAGTTCACCGTAACTTCCAACTTCTGGGCTTAAATGATCCTCCCAACTCAGCCTGGCTAATTTTTAAAAAAATGTTTTTGTATAAATGGGGTCTTACCATGTTGCCCAGGCTGGCCTTGAACTCTTGGACTGAAGTGTTCCTCCCACCTTGGCTTTCCAAAGTGCTGAGATTACAAGTATGAGCCACCATGCCCTGCCTAATAATTTTTTAGGTAGTTATGGATATTCTTCTTTGATGTCTCACCAAAACTGGACAAATGATAGTTTCTTAAAGAGTAGTTACAATGTGGAATCTGAAAGAATACTGATGAATGTTATGGCTTTTTCACATTAAAGCCTGTTGGTGTATCTTGTACTTTGAATGGGTCTTTTACCCATGTGTGATATTTAGCATCATGTGTTGGTCCCTTGGAAAATTCATGCAGTGATAGAGGTCTTCCAACTGTTGACATATTTTGTTATAAGATATCGAAACAGCACTTTTGTTACTATCACTATCAATATTAGAAAAGTCTCTCACTATAGGGAAGCTGTCAGGTTCACAGTGGCAGATACAAGTTTTCCAAAATTTTTTCAAATTTTTGTTTGAAAGCTCTCATATTTATCATTGGCAGTAAGTACTGACGGTTGCTTACCTTGAAGTGATTAGCTCAAGCTCACATCATTCATTTTCCCAAAGAATACCTGTCAAAACCTCAATCGGCATAGTTTGTCCTTAAGTTATTCTTTCAAGTAAAAATAGTTCCACACAGCGAGTGGCTAGTTGAGCTTGTAACTTGAATTGTGCAGTTGCTTTTCCTCTCGGCTGGGCCTGTCCTGTACCACACAGCAGAAACACTGTGTATGAATTTCATATTTCCTCACGTGGAAGAGCAAAAAGATGTTTACTCAAGGGTGGAAATTTAATAAAATTAATATTTTTACTGCTTCATCAGTACATTTTAATGTGAAACTGGATTTTTTTTCCGAGCATTTGGTAGTGAGGGCTACAGTGACTGCTGGCAGAGTGTGGAGCTGCTGACTGGATTCAGGACGAGGTTCCAGCAGCTTTACCTACTTTGGTACCATCAGGGCATATGTCAATACTGTGAAATGGGCAAAAAGGTAGGGCCTTGGCAGAGCGCGGTGGCTCACGCCTGTAATCCTAGCACTCTGGGAGGCAGACGTGGGAGGATCGTTTGAGCTCAGGAGTTTGAGACCAGTCTGAGCAAGAGTGAGACCCTGTCTTTACCAAAAATAGAAAAAATTAGCCGGGCATGGTGGCATATACCTGTAGTCCCAGCTCCTTGGGAGGCTGAGGCAGGAGGATTGCTTGAGCCCAGGAGTTTGAGGTTGCTGTGACTTAGGCTGATGCCATGGCAATCTAGCTGGGGCAAGAGAGTGAGACTCTGTCTGGAAAAAAAAAAAAAAAAAAAAAAAGCTGGCCTCACAGTTTCCCTGACAGAGCACAGGACCCTAGGGCTCCATGGAACACACTTTGAGAACCGCTGGCCTAGCTGTTCTGGGTCCCTCTTCTCCCCATGTGCCTGTATTACATTGACCTATATGAAATTGTGTCATGTGTTCATTCCAACCCATGACAAATTCCTAGGGTTCAAATACATTGTTTCCATGTCTTTGCATGTTGCACGTTGTCTCACCTGTTGAAATTCTCTTCTGTCGCAGCCTGGCTCCTGCACCTCCTGACTTCACTGCTTCCTTTTTAGGGCCCCTCACACAGCCTTCCTTTGGCCAACAGCCGTTTTGTGCATTCCTTGGTGTCCTAACGGCAGAAGACCCTCGGGATATAGCTTTGTCCACACCGGGCCTGGCAGCGCCCGGCTGCTCTGAGTGAAGGTGGGTGTCATCTCCGGGTTTAGGGCTGAGGAAATCTTGTGGCCCCAGCACCCGGCTAAGGTGAAGCACCTGGGTGCCCCAGCTGTTGGCTGGTCACTGCACTGACGATGGCCTCACATCCAGAAGGAAGTCAGTCCTATCTCGGGTCTGGACTCTTCTATCAGAAAAAAGTCCTGAAAACTGACTGTGGCTGTCACAGACACCTGATGATAAAAGGACACGCAGTGGTTCTCCCGAAAGAACGGGCGGCCGGGGGCAAGGCCAAGGACAGATTAAGATGCATTCCTGGCCAGTCGCGGTGGCTCACACCTGTAATCCTAGCTCTCTGGGAGGCCGAGGCGGGCAGATTGCTCGAGGTCAGGAGTTCAAAACCAGCCTGAGCAAGAGCAAGACCCTGTCTCTACTAAAAATAGAAATTAATTGGCCAACTAATATATATAGAAAAAATTAGCCAGGCATGGTGGCGCATGCCTGTAGTTCCAGCTAAGCGGGAGGCTGAGGCAGGAGGATTGCTTGAGCCCAGGAGTTTGAGGTTGCTGTGAGCTAGGCTCACGCCACGGCACTCACTCTAGCTTGGGCAACAAAGTGAGACTCTGTCTCAAAAAAAAACAAAACAAAACAAAACACATTCCTGGCCTGTAATACAGTGGGAAGGAAGACACCTTGTAGTGGCTATGGGAGCGGAGAGGCCAGGAATGGGATTTCTGGGTCAAGGGTAGCTCCACGTTTAACTTTTGGAGAAGTGCAGGCTGCGTTTCCAGAGTGGCCACACCATTTACAGCAGTGTGTGAAGGCTCTAGTTGCTTCACATCCTCACCCATGCTTGTTATTACCCGACTCATTGATGACAGCACTCCTAGCAGGTGTGGGAAGTCTCCCTGTGGCATAGATCTGCATTTCCCTGACGGTGGACAATGTTGAGCATATTTTCATGCAGTTTTTGACCCCCCATTTGTATAGCTTCCTTGAGAAATATCTATGCAAAATGTGCATTTTTGATTAGGTTGTCTTTTTTTTTTGAGACAGAGTCTCACTCCATTGCCTGGGCTAGAGTGCCGTGGCGTCAGCCTAGCTCACAGCAACCTCTAACTCCTGGCTCAAGCGATCTCTGCCGTCAGCTCCAAAAAAAAAAACAAAAAAAGGAGTAGCTGAGAACTGGCAGAATGGGCACCACCATGCCTGACTAATATTTTTCTATAAATCAATTCTTTTAGTTGTCCAGTAAATTTAATTTCTACATTTTTAAGTAAAAACAGAGAACGGGTTTGCTCAGTCTGTCTCACAAAAAAAAACACTCTGAGGGCTCAAACAACTCCACACACCAACTGTGACAGAGTCCTAGGATTACAGGCGTGAGCCACCGCGCCCGGCCCCTAGGTTGTCTTTTTATTATTGAATTGTAGAGTTCTTTATATATTCTTTTACTAGATGCAAGTCCCTTGTCAGATAAATGAGTTCCAAAAAAATTGTCCCATTTTGTGGGTTGTCTTTTCACTTTCTTGTTAGTGTCTTTTGAAACATGAAAGTCTTACATTTTGAGGAGATCCAATTTATCTATTTTGTTGCTGTGCTGTTGGTGTCATATCTAAGAAATCATTGCCAAATCCAAAATCAGGAAGAATTATTCTTATATTTTCTTCTAAAAATGTATAGCTTTAGTTCTGACATTTAGGACTTCGAACATTTTGGGTTAATTTTTGTATATGCTGTGAGCTAGGGCTCCAGCCTTACTCTTTGCATGTGGCCATCCACCCCAGCATTTACTGAAAAGACTATTCTCCTATTGAATTGTCCTGGCTCTCTTGTCACTGTAACTTGACATAAATGTGAGAGTTCGTTTTTGGGCATTCGGTTCTATTCCATCGGTCTGTGTCTGTCCTTGTGCCTACTCCACAGGGTCTTGGTTACTGTAGCTTTGTAGCAAGTTTCAAAATGGCAAAGTGTGAAGCCTCCCATCTTTGTCCTTCTTTTTCAAGATTGTTCCGGTTGTTCTGGGTCCCTTGAGTTTCTATGTGAATTTTAGTATCAGCTGGTCAGTTTTTGTGAAGAAGCCAGCTGGGATCCTGAGGGGGCGGAGGGGTGGCCGGCTGGGCTGGGCTGCAGGGAGGGGTCCAGGATCGCTCCTCAGAGGGGAGAAGGTGCCCACCCACATCAGGGCTGGAAGAAGGATGGGAGTTTGTCAGAGGGCAGGGGCGGGAGGGAATGACCAGCAGGGTCAAAGGGCAGGAGGAGGAGGGGCTGGCAGCGCTGTGTGGGCTTGGCCTGGCCGGGCTGGGTGTCAGGCCCTGGAGACCCCGGCTGTTACCCTTGGGCCTGGTTGGTCCTATGGCCAGTGGGAACCTGAGGGCTTAAAGCCATCCCTGCTGCCCCTGCAGCCACAGGCACAGGACGGAGGGGACGGGGCAGGACAGTGAATCCGTCTGTTCACTGGGGAGACAGAAGAGGGAACTGCCACTGTGGTGTCACACGCACAATCGCCTCTGCACTGTCCCAGCCCTGGCAGCCTTTTTTTTTTTTTTTTTTCCCACCCAACATCCCTCTCTCAACCACTACAATGCCTATCTCCTTCCACTTACGAGTGAGTTTTATGTTCCCACCCAACATATAATTCTCGAACATGTTATTTCTCAAGTTGGCTTTAGTCACTGGATAAGTGTTACACACGTAAATCACCTCAGTTATTTAGCTGTGGTTTTAAATAATGTCCTGTGTTAAGAATTTGCAGGCAAATTAAAGGCCTTTTCTAGCTGTGCAAAAAAATATGGAACGCTTCACGAATTTGCGTGTCATCCATGCGCAGGGGCCAAGCTAATCTTCTCTGTATCGTTCCAATTTTAGTATATGTGCTGCCGAAGCGAGCACTCTGGCAGCCTTTTGACATGGATGTAACCATCACCATCTGTACAGATGAGGAGGCCAGGGCGCAGAGAAGAGAAGGACTTCCGCAAGGGCACTTGTTCTTCAGGGTTGATGTGGGGACAAACCCTGGAGGGTCCCAACTTCCCTGCTTCTCCTCCTTCCCTCATCTGTCTTCAGAATTGTCAGTAGGGCACCCAGCCCCCACAAGAGGGCACCAAAGCCCGGGCCTCGCAAGGCACCCCCACCCCGACCATGTGGCCCCCACTCACTGACGTGTGACACACAGGCCCTCGCTGGCTGGGAGTGAGATGCAGCCCCATTGACTGCCAGGGCTACTATGGACCCCTGTGATTGACAATCTCCGATGAAGCCCCGCTCCTTCCGTGCCAAGGCTGGCCCCCAGAGAAGATACTGTGAACTCATTCATGATGCACGAGTAACATTTGATACCAGAACCTGAGAAGGCCATTATGAGAAAGAAAAATTACAAGCCAGTATGACTTAAGAATTTATTTATTTATTTATTTATTTTTTTTTCAGACAGAGTCTCACTTTGTTGCCCAGGCTAGAGTGAGTGCCGTGGCGTCAGCCTGGCTCACAGCAACCTCAATCTCCAGGGCTCAGCGATCCTACTGCCTCAGCCTCCCGAGTAGCTGGGACTACAGGCATGCGCCACCATGCCCGGCTAATTTTTTGTATATATATTTTTAGTTGGTCAATTAATTTATTTCTATTTTTGGTAGAGACGGGGTCTCGCTCAGGCTGGTTTCGAACTCCTGACCTCGAGCAATCCGCCCGCCTCGGCCTCCCAAAGTGCTAGGATTACAGGCGTGAGCCACCGTGCCCGGCCGACTTAAGAATTTAGATGCAAACATGTAAACAGGCCGGGCATGGTGGCTCACGCCTGTAATCCTAGCACTCTGGGAGGCCGAGGTGGGTGGATCATTTGAGCTCAGAAGTTTAAGACCAGCCTGAGCAAGAGCAAGACCCCATCTCTACTAAAAATATAGAGAAAAAATTAGCCGGGCATGGTGGCGCATGCCTGTAGTCCCAGCTACTTGGGAGGCTGAGGCAGAAGGATCACTTGAACCCAGGAATTTGAGGTTGCTGTGAGCTAGGCTGACACCACAGCACTCTAGCCTGGGCAACAAAGTGAGACTCTGTCTCAAAAAAAGAAAAAATCGTAAACAAATAACAGCAAACTATGTTCCACAATGTATTAAAAGGATGACCTATCACAACTGCGTTAGGGTTCTCCAGAGAAATAGAACCAATGGGATAGATGTATTATTATATATCTATATAATAAATATATATTAATACGTTTGTTTATTATAGGGATTGGCTCAGTCCCACAGTGTGCGTGTGCAAGCTCAGCCCGGGACACGGGGGTGTGTGATGCATCCTGAGCCGGGAGGCCTGGGAACAGGGGAGCTGATGCTGTAAGTTCAGGCTGGGTCCAAAGGCCCAAGAACCGGGCATCTGATGTCCACGGGCAGGGGAGGGTGATGTCCCGGCTCAAACAGCAAATTCCGCCTTCATCTGCCTTTTCCTTGTGTTTAGGCTCTCAGTGGATTGGATGACGCCCTCCCCCACTAACCAGGACTATTTTCCTTACTCAGTCTATGAATTCAAATGCTAATCTCTTCTGGAAACACACACACCCAGCAAAAATGTGTTACCAGCTATCTGGGCATCTCTTAGCTTAGTCAAGTTGACCCACAAAATTAACCATCACAACAACCAAATCTGACTTACCACAGGAGGGCAAGTTTGGTGTGGCATTAGAGAATCAGTCAATATATTTTACCACATTGACTGAAGAAAAGGAAAAATCATCTCACCACTGTATCTTTTTTCTTAGATACAGAAAAAAAAACAATTGATAAATTCAATACACTTTCACGATAAAAAATTCTTGGCAAAGAAGACAGACAACCGTACATCTCAGCTAATATTTTACCCTTAATCCACAGAATCAATGTTATTACAACAAGAATTCAACCAGTTTGTCGCTGTTGCGGTAATCAGCAAGCCTGTTCTAAAATTCATATAAAAGAGTGACAGGCCAAATAAAGAGTTAACAATTGAAAAAGGAAGAATAAATTGTCAAGTATACGATACCAGATATCCACGCTTATTTTCTATAAAGCTGCGATGCAGCAGATTGGATTTCCCCAGAGTGAATATGGAAATATTTCCAGCTCCTCCTGGAAATGCCCACGAAGCCTCTAACATGTGGGAACCCCACATGTTCAGTTCATACTGCTTTAAATGTGATTCATAAAGTTGAACAGAAAGAACCACAAAGTTAAAAACAATTTATTTGTGCTCTACTTTTCCATGCAGAGCCAGCCAGATGTTAATCACCAAACTGAGAGCCAGAGGCGGCTCTCTTTAGGTACAAAATTAATTTACCAGGGATGCGTATCCAATTGCAAGGTTTTGCTAACTGGGTTATAACTATATTTAGAACTGCACAGAAAGGAAACAGTGATTGCTCACTTCAGTACTGAAAATAAGATGAAAACCTCATGGAACTAAGATCTGAACTTCAGTGAAATACTCCAAAAATAAACTATAACTCTCAGGACGTGTTAGCTGCGAAAAACAAAACAAAAAACAAACGCATCACAAACTGCATTTGAATAAAGAGCAAATTCTGCCCATTCACCTTTTTTTTTTTTTTTTTTGTAGAGGATTACTACCCCTGGACATGATCTGGAGTTACAATTCGATGTGCTTCTCACTGGACAGTTTAGCTTTATTGGTAAACCATAGATTCTACTACGCAAGTCTTCACATATTTTAAAACCTACTTGCAAGCTCTGCCCGGGCCAGCTGTGGCACTTTGGTGTGCAGTGCTGCCAACGAATCGTAGTCTGTCCGCCTCTCAGGCCATGGCCTTGCGAGAAGGGCCGATCGGTCCTCTGGGCGCAGGAAATTCTGTATCCAGGGCCCAAGGAGTCACCCTAAGCCGCTGCCGAGTTTGTGTAATATTTTCAGTTTTTTTTATGTTATTATTTATTTAATTTATTTATTTATTTATTTAGGGGCGGAATGGATTTTTTTTTTTTTTTTTTTTGGAGACAGAGTCTCTCACTTTGTTGCCCAGGCTAGAGTGAGGCCGTGGCATTGAGCCTAGGCTCACAGCAACCTCAAACTCCTGGGCTCAAGCGATCCTGCTGCCTCAGCCCTCCCG